GCCCGCTGACACCCCGCAGCCAGCACTATTTGGGCCCACAGCCATACTTCATAACTAACAGCAAGACAGAAGTAACTGTTTGAGTTTGTTTTCCTTTCTTTTCTTTTTTTTTTTTAATGAAATCCTTTAAAAACCACATGCAATTACACACACAACGCAAACACTCAACTGAAAGGCAAAAAATAAATTTTAAGAAAAATATATATATAAAAAAAAGGAAACAGAAGGAAGGAAGGAACTAAGGAACTTCCACCTGGACACTCCTGGTATCCAGCCAACTGTAGGCCAAAGGGTGGGTTAATACCATTCAGCAATACACACTGAAGGTTGAATTATAAATGCCATTTGTATTTCACAATGGAACGCAAACCCTTGTGACTAAATTTTTTTACTTGAAACTAAATCCATGATGAGAAGTAGCACAATCTAGAGAAACTTTATGTCTGCTTAAACATTTACACTATGTTCCTGCCTTGAGACAGAGGAAGAAAGAGAGAACAACATACTGTAACATATTATTTCAAAGAGGAATTTTGTATAAAATTTATTAATAATCACTAGACCTGTGAAAAGCCAAGAGCACACATCTTGGTACAACCCCTAACATCTATTATTGTACTTTCACACCATCCTATAGAAAGCGCAAAAAATACATATATAATAAGGGACAAAGACTCTTTCACAAGGAATATATGAAGACTGTTATGACTAAGAGCATATGGGACCTTCCTGGCTAGGAGAGAATTCTGCAGGATGATAACAAACAGCAGAAGATTTTATTTCAGTTTACTTCGTTTGATTTAAAATTTTTGGGAACCTCCAAAATAAGAAGAGACGTATCATATGACACAGAAAGCTGCTGGGGGAAAATAAGGGCATCAGAATATTCCCTCTCAGTCCTCCTGTTTTTGGGCAGATGGTAACAATTCTCACTTTGCAGACTGTCAGGACTTTTTCTTCACCTAAATGTTTTGCCTATCTTCAACTGCTTCAGACTGAAATTAAGCGTGGGTGGTGCCTTTACTGTATTACTATTGTTCAATGACAGTCTTGTTTCTCAAAGTGACCCTTCCGTTCCTTTATGCTATTTCCTCATGTTTTGCTAAGGATGACAAGGGTTCTGCCCTGGTCAGCCTCCTCTGTTTGTCCCGAAGGGAAACTGGACTACATCTCCATGCAGTGGTTGCACAGTCAAGATTATTTAGTTAGACCTTCCATTTTCCCAGTTTGAACTTTTTCCCTCTAGTCTCTCATTTTGTATTTGCTTTTAGCCATGGTAATTCTTCGTAGTTCAACTAAATGTTATATGGTATATTGTCTCTATCGTTTGGCTTTCTATAGTGGCGTTCCCTCTTGGTGGACTATTTGGCGTAAGAGGCTAATGGACTAGCCTCAAACGTCAGAGAGATCTGGGTTTAAACTAAACAAACAATTGGACTCATGGTCTTGACTGTGGTTCTGATGAGCTGGATGCCTTGTTCGTATGAGTACAACCACTCTTGAATTGGGCACTGGTAGCAGACTTGCAGTCCTGGGCTTTGGCACGTCCACAAACAGATAAACAAAGTTGGGACAGGATGGCGGTGCTGCAACAGCCTGATGGCAGGCAACACACTCGTCTTTCACTTAAATTCCCGCCCTTCCCCCAAAACAAGTCATTTGGCTAACTCCTAACTAGCTATCTTACTACAGTTGCATTCTCACCAGCTGTCAATTCTTCTGGAGATTGGTTTTGGAAGAGCATGCAGGGAGGAGTGAGAACTGTTACATTGTAAGAAGAATTGGAAGTGTCATTTCTTATTGTACTCAACTGATTGGCAGTGTTTCTTCTTAGTCAAGGATGCGAGGGCTAAGAACCTAAAATGTGGTTAAATGGAGAGACCTTTTTTTTTAGCTATATCAAGAATGATTTGCATCCTGAGAGCACCGGCATATCTCCATAAGCGTGCTACTAAATTGTATGACCATATGTTTTAAGACTATCAGAAGTGGACAAAGCCCACGGGACAAATACTTTGCACACAACCCAGATTCTCCATTACCTTACTTTCATTCCTTTAATCTTTATTGCCTTCACAACTGGCTGACTTAATTTGACCCTTTATGGAATGTTGCTGTTAATCCATATGCTTCAGATACACATTACAGCTGCACTCTAATTCACACAGGTTTCGTGTAACTTGAGCATATTTTATGTGGAAATATTTTAGTAATTGTATGTTCTGTAAGTAAACCCGTGTTAATACTTGTTAACTACAAAGTTTATGATACCAATAATACTTCCTACAATAAAATGTTTGTTTGTTTTTTAAGAATGTTTATTTGTAAACATATGTATTCACTATATTAATATGAATTTCTTACCTGGCAATAAAACTGATTCTATGTGAATCCAACTTGCTGGCTCATTGCTAAGCTTGCATCATTGGGACAATTTCTGAGTATTAACCCTCTGGAGCCTCTCACTGCAGCCAGAGTGGTTCATCTCAGCACAAATGATGATTTATTTGACTCTGACGCTGGTAGTCTTGTGAACAAGAGGTTCTTTGGAAAGCAGCTGCATGTTGTATGTGTTATGTATGTGCAATGCTTGTTACAGACAGTGTAACCTAATACACACAAGGCATGCAAGCCTTGCCAAGCTCCTTGTTCCCGGTAAGTCTCCCAGAATCACACACAGCTTGTGTCATTTGATCAGTTAACTACAGTTTTAAGGGAAGGAAAAAAGGTAAGCATGGGCAGGGCCAGATCCTGGCCCTCATGAATCCATGGGAGTTCTTCAATAAGCTTCAGCCACATCCCAGGTTTGGAACTACCCAGTAAGCACAGATGAAACAGCGGTGTATATTGCTTAAAAATTATATATTCATTACAGAAAAACCTGTACACAACATCTGTGTACCAAATCTGCTGGAACAGAAAGTCCTTTACAGGCTTTTAGTACTGCTAATGACTCGTAAACCTGACAATGAACAGAACCTCAGAAAAGAAGAGTGTTTGGGTAGTTTCTTCGCTTTGCTTTGCTGCAATGATATTGGATTAATTTCAGAAGAAATGAAGAATCAGGATACCTACCTTCAGAATCAACTTAGAGCAAATTCGTTAGACAATTTATGATTCCTAGGAAGCCATGACACATTATCAGAGTGAAAACATCAACTCAGAAGTGGCTGGAGTTAGCCACGTTAAACAGTAGAAAATTTTAATTTTCATTATATGCCTTTGTGATTGCCATGAAATAGTTCATAAAAGCCCTACTTCTGGTTACAGGAACATTTCCCTGCCTCAGGCACAACTACAGAAACTACCCTATTCTGCCAGGAGGCTCAGGAGAGATGTATGGGGCACAGCCACAGCACCAGAAAAAACTTGGGCAGCCCTGCAAACCACGGGGAAGCCTGGGGAGCCCAGGGAGTACAAGCCTATCCTACAGTAGACACAACTTACCGTTACAGCTCCACCACCAACCCATCCATTCGCATGCTGTTTCTATCAGCAAATTCCTGACTGGAATTATGGCTGGCAAAAGGACAACGGTTTCGCTGGTAGAAGTGCAACTGCATAGGATTTTGTTCTTCCAGATACATGAAAAAACCCCTCCAACCCCCCTCCCCCCGCATCTGATTTTGTGTCTCTGCATGTTTTTTTCTCTTATGTTAGCCTGAACCTTTTGTCACCATGAGCAAGAACTGCACTGGGTTCCCATAAGCATTTCTTCCATAAGGCTCTTTGCTATTAACACAGATGGACTACAAACAAAAAAAAATGTATTACCAAGAGGTGAAGATGTTCCACATACAGAGCTGTGGAGTCTAAAACTCTAAAGGTTGTCTGTTTTAGACCCCTTTACTCTGGAAACATGTTCTCATCACTAAATATTTTGAGCATGATCCTCAGCTTGCACAAACTGAAGACATAGTGATTTATATAAATACAGGTCAAGTTTCATGACATTCCACACTGTACCTACAAAGTGTCTCCAGGACTCAGACTTTAACAGATCTGGGAAAAGAGTCATGCTTTGCTCTGTTCTTATAGAATGGTTATTGAATTTTGGTTACTAAATAAATAACACTAGTCCACAAATCCCTTTTGCACACAATCCTGTGCAGTTTATTTAATCCTGGTCTCTATGCTTAAATACATGAAGGGCTTCCAGTGATAAATATAGTCTTTACTGTAATTATATCATCTTCCTATTTGGCATGGATAATTTTATTTTGCTAAGAACAGTTATGACAGGAAGCATTGTTGTATTAGATATCATCTCATATATCACCCAGTGCTGACAACGTGAAAATAAGATGAGTACCACATTATTAAAAAGTGAGCATTTTTATTTTTGTGAGTGGGAAAGTCATATTATCATGTCTATTGATTATATATGACTTCAGATAACTTTTGTAATTTATTTCAGCATTAATATAAATACATACATAGTAGTACAGATGCCATGCTAGCTTGGCCAGGAAAGCTGTTTTTAGCCAAAAAAGACTGAATGAAAGTCCTGCTTATTTCAAGTTATACAGCAACTTGGTCTCTGTATTGCTTCTAAAATACCATTACATGGTCAGTAAGATACAGCTTCTAGGATACATTAAAATCCCAATTAAAAAAAAATAAAAAAAAATCCTGTATTAGTTCAATAACAAAGTCTTAAAGGGATAAAATGCTGTTGGCTGTATTAAATATGAGGAACCATTCCTGGTAACTAATCCTCTAGAAATGAGACTGGTTTGGGAGAACAAAATCTGAGTTTACAAGATGTGCATTACATTTACAATACTTGTTATCAGGTTCTGACCATTCTGTCCAGTTGCTGCCCACCTGAAGAGGAGAGATATGCAAGAGGCCGTATTCTGCAGTTCCCATCAGGCTGCCCACAGAAGAGTGCAGAAGACTAACCTGACATCTTAGGATTCAAACTCAAGCTTATGTCTAGTGTCTGCCCATGACGTAAGCAGTGTTTTCTCAACAACAGGCTTACTGTCAAGGGGTGACATTAGAAGAGATGAAAAAAGAGACTGCGCAATGTGAATTTGTCACTGGCAGCTTAGGTTATTACTCAGAGAGCGCACCTCTT